AACGCCGTTCGGTTTTACAAAAACGATGACTTAAGTCGTCGCTATCCTTGCTCCCCGAGATTACGGCCGTGTCATTGGGGCTTTATGACGCACTCAGCTGCTGGGACTATATGGCGCCGCCAGCCTCTCACCCTGACGGGAAGGGCGGGCGCCGCGGTCAATCGAACCACGTGCCTGTGGTTTCCCAGACGCGCAGTGCCTAATGCAGCCGCGTGAACCACTACACTATAGGCAGCCAGCGCGCAGGCTCAAACAGTCTGATGGTATTTTTTGTACTGATGGTATTTGTTTTCTGCAAGATAATGAGCATTCTCAGAGAAACGTGAGCTGGCCTAGAACTCATTTCGACCCACTTCATTCAGCGCTGGTGAGGCGCTTATTTCCTGTAGAGGGATCCCCTTTGAGTATAACACTACGAGGCCGCCACTCTGTCCCACCGCGGCGAGTTTTCTGGCCGTCATTCTTTGGACACGGGACGGTATCACGCCCTTAGAGAGATGCACCACATCACATTTGTCCACTCCCTGACGCGGGAAGCCTTCTGACCCACGCAGTTGACCCGGGATGGATGCATAAACCGTCGTTAACGCAACAACATCCTTGCTCACCGTAGATGGTCAAATAATTGGCACATATACTCCAGTTGGGCTTAACGGGCCCGGGCTGGAAAAGAGATGGAGGGCCCACCGTTTGGTATTGGGAGCCCTGACTGGGACAGGACTTTTCTTTTACCTCAACGTGAGCACTCATTATAAGTTCTTGTTTCCTTCAATTGCCGGAGGGCATCGACCAACGGAAGAGACCCTCTGCCATTCAGGGTTTCGTCCACGTCCCTGTTAAGTAAATCTTCCCCTGACCGATTCGAGGCCCCATGTTGACACATAATGCCTGTTAAGCACTGTGGGATCCTGAACGATACAGGAACTCGACCGATGTAAATCACGGCCTGCCCTTGTCACTGCTTGGGAAATGGGCTCCCAGAGCTCATACCAACACGGAGCTGGGTGTTCGTTGTTCATGATCTCTGGCCGAAATAGAGGAACGCTCTGTCTCAGGGATCCCTACCGGTGCAAGAGATCATCTTAATGGCATTTGATATCACGGCCCTTTGGGCGGAGGTCCTTAATGTGACCTACAGTCAGCCCTTCGGAACCTTCAGTCATCCCATCGGGCCCTTGATCTTTGGTGCCGAGATACCCTTTAGCCCCTCTTCGGGCTCCCTCAAACACTACTCCGACTCGGGACCACTTGTCGCCACAGGGCCCCTGTTCGGCACTGTGGCCCCTAACCGACGCAGAAGCCCGTCATTGTGTTAGGAACCGGAGCATTGCAAAGCGTGGGCCCCGGCCTCATTTCTGCTTGAGAAATGGGTCTCAAGAGCTCAGACGGACATGGAGACGACTGTTCGGTGTTCGTGGTCTCTGACCGACTTAGACACCCTCATTGTCTCAGGGTTTCTTAAAACAGTGCAACAAGACTTCTGACTGGTATTTCAGGTCACGACCCTACGGGCCGCGACTCTCTATTTGACCGACAGCCGCTCTCTCGGGCCCTTATGCCCTCCAACCGGACCTTTGATCGACGGTTCCGATGGGCCGCCCGGGCCCCTCTTCGGGCTTCATGAAACATTTTCCTCGCTCGGTTCGGGACGCTTACAGGACTCTCTGCCGGGCGCTGTGGCCCCTGAAAGATATAAGCCCCTCCCCCCCCCCCCCACACCAGTGTAAATTGCTGGCGCCGGCTTTATAGCTGGTTGGAAAATGGGTCCTCAGGCCCATACAGACACGGAGCCACCTACGTGGCACGGTGGTGCCCGACCGACATGCAGGCCCACATCGGCTCAGGGGATCCCCGATCGGCGCAAAGAGCCCTCTGGCCGTCAGTTGAGGGTCCGTCTTCGCAGCTTTGGGCCCCTGAAGAAGACTCCGACCAGCCCTGTATGCCTTCAGAACCTCCAATCGGACCTTTGATTGTCGGACCGGATGGGCCCTCTAGGCTCTTCGGGCCTCCTCGAACACTGCCTCTGGCCGATTCGGGGCCCTTTGAGATCACAAAGGCCCCTGTTAGGCGCTTTGGGGCCCGAGCAATGCAAATCGGCTCCAGCTTTGTCCCTACTTGGGAAATGGGCCCTTAGGTCCATGCCGCCGCGGAGCCTGGTAGCGTCTTATCAAAATGTAGGCCATTATTGGCTCAGTAGACCTCTGATCAGGGCGCAGGGCCCTCTGGCTGACATTTAAATGCCCGGCCCTGCGGGCCAGGCCCCTGAATAAGACTTCTTTTTGCTTTTCTGGCCCTGGAAAGGTAACCATGACAGGCAAGGACTTTTTATGGACGCTAGTTCTTTCTGAGGGAATACTCTGGTGCTTGCAAGTGTAAAATCAATCGGAAGTTTTGGGCGATGTAGAGTTCCGCGTCCTTTAACATGCCGGTTTTCTGGCTTTTCGGCCCTTAAACGTAGCTTCCGAGGGGCCCTCCGAGTCCCTCGAGACCTAAGGGGGGGGGGGGACGCGTGTCCCCCGTGCCCCTCTGCCTGCGCTACTGCCCATACGTCACCATATGTGGCACGGGTGCTTTAGGCTCGGTACTTTGCCAACATCTTCCCTCACTGTTACATTTGTTTTGTGGTTTGCGCCCAACCGTTGAACATTTGCTTATCGTGCACAAACTCGTATGAAGCAAGAGAGGGGGCCGGATAGACTGGAATTCAAACAGACCGCATGTGACCAAGGTAGCCACATGCCGATATGGGATGCCGGGGGGCTGGTCCTTCGGTTTCATCTGGGAACCAGATGGGATGCCCATATGCTACCATCTTGACCATACACGCAATAATTTTCGTGCTGTGTGCTTCCTGGTTATGTCTTACCATGTTATGTACAAATGCGAGGGACAGTTGGCGTGAATATCATTCGGATGGCTGCGCATGGGCAAGCTGGGCCCATTTCAACATAAATTCGAGGTGGGCTAGCGGAGCGTCCAAGGAGTTGGGAGACATTGGACACGTCCCCGTCCCATTAAAAAAATGGTGCGCATAGATATGTGAAAATGGCAATAATACAAATGCAGACATGCAAGTAAAATTAAGAACATTGAAGATATGCGGTGTCTGTGTACGCCATAAGAAGAAATTCAAGCGCCTGCGGCGCGCTTGAATAGGGTTTTCGGCAATACATGTTTAATTATGCGCCTCTTCCCAAGCCAGCAAATACTGGCACGAGAAAATCAAACATGATGTTAGTTTTGCAATATCACGCTGCCTTCAAGGCCAAAAGCAAGGTCAAATGATGTGGAACTCCATATCACCAAACAGTTACCTGCCGATGTCAACTTTCCAGGCATTAGTATACCTGCCAGCCCATGAACTAGCGGCCATCAGAAGTCCTGCTCTCTCAAGGTCACCTTTCAAGGTCAAATCAGATTAAAGGACGCGGACCTCACTATCGCCAACAAACTTCCGACTGATTTTACACTTGCAAGCACCAGAGTATTCCCTCAGAAGGAACTACGAAAAAAGTCTTGACCTCTCGCGGTTACTTTTCCAGGTCAGACTAAGGCTCCAATGGCGGGAACCCCATACCACCAAAATTTGCCGTTCGAATTCAACTCTCTAAGCATTAGAATATTCTCTCGTGCATGAACTAACCTCCGTCAAAAAGCACTCACCTCTGAACGTCACCTGACAAGGTCAGACACAGGCTCGGGGGACGAAAAGTGCAAACTGTCAAAAGGAAGAATCCAGTCGATATCAGTTTTTCGAGTATCAGAATATTAACCAGCACATGAACTACCTTCCGTTTAAAAGCCCTGACCTCTCGAGATCACCTTAAGGTCAAACTAAGGCCAACATGGCGGGGACCTTTGGCGATTTGTGCAGGGATTTATTCAGCAACGTGTTCCGATTTCTTGGAAAACACGTGATATGGCAAATTATGGCACGAGAACATAAAAAGACGTATATGTCTCTGGATTGATATATATATATATATATATATATATATATAACAGTACAATCATCGCAGTATAATGACCTCATCTAAAAAGGCCCCGGTCTAGCCTTGCCACCACACTCAAGCTAACTAGTCATTGCTTCGCTATCTGATCATGTAGCCGGGTAGTAAAGTGATGGTCCGTCGCCTTTACACTTTATTTGTACGTCAATTGTTTCCTGATTGTTAAATGTTTGTGTTGTAATCAGTTAGGTTTCCTTGATTGATCTGTGTTGTAACACTGATCTATGTCATTGCCGTAATTATTTTCTTTGATTTTCTGTCCTAGTATCTGCCCTTGCGTCTACTTGTAGCCTGCCCTGAGACTGCGGCATGACAGTCTCAATCCAGCCCAGGTGCCCGGCGGTCGGCATACAACCCAGCCAGGTGCCCGGCGGTCGGCATACAATCCAGCCCTGGTGCCCGGCGGTCGGCATACAATCCAGCCCTGGTGCCCGGCGGTCGGCATACAATCCAGCCCTGGTGCCCGGCGGTCGGCATACAACCCAGCCAGGTGCCCGGCGGTCGGCATACAATCCAGCCCTGGTGCCCGGCGGTCGGCATACAATCCAGCCCTGGTGCCCGGCGGTCGGCATACAATCCAGCCCTGGTGCCCGGCGGTCGGCACAGAATCCGGCCCTGGTGCCCAGCGGTCGGCATACAATTTTCTGTGAAGCGAAGCGCGCATCACTCAGCCACGTTTGCATATACAGTACGATAACTTGGGAAACGGCAAGAGCTACGCCACCGGCCGAACCTGAACGCCATTATCCTGAGACCTAGATAACCATGACTTTGTGGCATGCCACATAAGGTGATCATTTGAAGTTGTGAAGGCTTCAGACCTGCGGCTTCGTGTAAGTCAATCGTGAAATGCCAACCGTCTCGACCCAAGAAGGAAACTAACGACGTCCTCGGCTAGAAAAAGTGGCATTGCCTGACCCCGCGACACTGAAAGGCGCATGCACTGACTGATGAAAACCATGCATTTCAACCAGACGTTGAAAGCCGTGATTTCTGTATATTTTGTATTCATATGGATTTATCATTTATTCCAAACCGCAGTGGAACGCACAGGAAAATACACATCACGGTGGAAACCGCACTGTTCTTCAGCCCGTTCGACGAACGGAGAAGTAAAAAAAAAAAACTTGACTTCGTTTGTCATTGCTCCCAGTTGTGACCCGATCGCATCAGCATGAAGGCTCTGCCTGCCGCGGCGCCAGGCTGACCAGCCCCGCGGCCGGGCTGGCGGCAGGCCCTAGGGCGGCTGGGTTGACTGCAGCGCCAGGTAGCCGATTAGCAGCGAGGTGCGCGCCGCCAGGAACAGACCGATCGAGACGACCCGCGGGTCGTCCCCGGACACCGGCAACAGGTAGTGTCTGAAACAACCCGCGCGCGACTGCTCGACCGCACCTGAGTATCTGACGCGCGCAGCCGGTGCCTGAGCCCTCCACCAGCCCTAGGATTCCCCGACTGAGCCGCGCAGAAGGTACAGCAGCTCAGCATCAGCAGAGAGTGACTCAGCAGGTTTGAAGCAACAGCAACAGCAGCCCTGTGCTCATCTTGTTGTTGAAAACTGGTACACGGCGCACAACAAGGACCAAATCTAATCCACGTCACTTCACAGCTGCACACCATCGTAACGAAATGCACGATGGCATGTACACCTGCAAGCAACCCTTGAGTCAAAACATAGATGAATACCGGCACCCAACACAAACTGGTTTCCCCCAAATGGAGGCCGCGCGTGGTGTGCCGGTCCGTCGGCTGTTCGCTCACCTGATCTGCCAGCCGTTGTGACCCGGACCGGGCAGAGGACGGCCCGCCAGTCGGGCCTCCGCCTGGTCAGCCGGCACCGGCAGGTGCACTGACAGACGACGGGCGTCGGCTCGCAGACCCGGCTCGGTCCCCAGCAGGCCGCTGGGTGGCTCTAGCACGTAACGGCTGCCGCGGCGGCGGACCGCAGTCAGCGGCGGACCGCAGCGAGTCGCCGCCGGACGCGACCGCCCCCGACGGCGCCCTCAGCCAGGTGCGTCCCATAATGCGTAGATAAATAAGGACATATAATACCTCACAACACCTTGCATCCTCAAAAATGATAGCATTCTATGTACGGTTGGAGAAAAGGGTTATGGGTCCTGGAGTATTCTATGCATCGAAGAATATTCCCTCTGATAGCTTCTTCACTACTAGCGTTCATTTATTCCTACCAAAAAGTACCGCTTAGAACTGATTAAAAGAGACCCCTGGCCACGAGGCACAGCCCAACGTCTCACCTGACACCCGGCTCCCGCCGATCCGTCAGATCCACGCAGAGGGCGCAGCCGTCGTCCGTCGTCTTCACGGCGTACAGCACGGCCAGCGACTGCCGGCCGGAGCTCAGGCTCAGGTCACACGCAAACAGCCTGCAGCAGAGACGCGCGCTGAGATGAGCTCACCGCCGCCGCGACACGGTCCGTAATGGATCACCCGACCTTGGCAGACGAACACATGCGCGCTTGCTCCATTAAACGACGGGAAAAACTGACAAACGCAAGAAATGGAGATTGGACTGGTTCTTGCCCCTGACGTCCCTGACGTCGGCCACAGCAATTGCACAGACCAGCGTTGTCAGAACATTCGACCTGTTCAAGCAGGGTATCACACGTCCATAACACGTTAGGCGGTGTCAGAGTGCCAGAACGGCTCCCGCTGTAATACACGCCAACAGGGTGGCTCGTATCACCGCCACCTGAGCACTCAGTGAACCCGAGCGCTGTACGCCTACCTGAACACGCCGTCCTGGTCTGAGGCGTTGCTGACGGCCAGACAGCCGCCACCACTGAAGGCGTCCTTATCTGTGTGGCGCACCTGCCAGCCCGGCTGGGGTAGCACCTCACCAGCGGCAGAGACAGCTTCGAGCCGGCGCTGTTCCATCGTACGAGCATCTTCCCTGCGGTTGTGCAATGGCACGCACGTTACGATCCGCAGACGGGCGGCAGGCATGTCAGGACGCGAACAGGCAGCATGCTTGTGACGGTGCATAGATCAGCGACCGTCCCTCAGAGTCGCTGGATTAGTGGCGGGTGCGGCAGGATGACAGACTGTGGGTATGTCAGAATGACAGGCGGCGGGCATGTCAGCGTACATAAAACGGTGGCGAGTCTCACGTGCAGGGGCGTCACTTCATATACTTTCGGGGGAGCTCAGCCCCCCCCCCCCCCCATGCGCCTCTGACTCTGACCCTCTCAATACATATCAGCAAGGAGGGGATATTGGACCAAATAAGTGCAGAACAATTGTCTTTACTATGGGTATACTAGGTCGTAGGCGCGTAAACACATCACAATGAGTACCATCTTTATGTTGTAACAAACAGGATCCTGTAGGTGCGCGATGCTTTGTCATGCCAACTCCTTCATACGTTAAGTCGGTCTGCAAATGGTTGACAAGTTTAAAAAAAAAGATAATGGGGTTTGGGATCAAGAAAAGTTTACCGCAATGTGCGGCAGCTTTTAAATTTACAGGGTCGCCCAGATAAAAGTAAATGCATGTTTTCCTAAACAGCGGCAAGTGCATTTGTCGCATAATCATGGCTGTGGTGGCTTTACAACATGATCAGCGACACTGGTAGTCATCAGTGATCCCTTGCTAACATTTACCGAGATAATTTTCGGTGAATTAAACCCCATTCTAAGATTTTCACAACAGTCAGCTCACATTCACTTGAAATGAGAAGTCATTCCTCCGCGGGAAAACAGTTTTGAAGCTACCAAATATTAAAAAGTTGTTTTTTACTTGAACATCAAGGATACAAATTCAAGTGTCCGAAATCCAGGGAGAAATCAGGCTTTTATTAAATTAGGCTAATTAGGCTTTTATTAGGCTTTTATTAAATTTGATTTTATTAAATTAGGCTACGTCAACCTTTTTGGCTGAGCTCCTAAACCGATTTAAAGGGAGTGCTCCACATTGATATGAAGTTTTGAACGGAAACAGTCATCTTGAAGACCTTTGGGTGCTGTTAACAATCCTGCCCTTCCTAAGACCTAAGACCTTTTGGTTGCTGAGCTACGCGCCAGTGAAAATGGGGAAATGTATACCGGGGAGAGTATTTCAAAGTCATCTTGGCATCCATGACATCATAATACTATCATTTAAATCCTGCCATTCCATAACTCATGCGGCGATTAAGGCCGATAAAAATATCATTGTTGAGGCACTCATATTTGACGTTCGTGAACGTGATTTCCGGATGTAACGGCCGTCAACTGGCTCTCGATCAATGTTATGCAAGGTACGATGGCGCAATCAAAACATGACGTATTCAGAAGCATATTTACTTAATAGAGAATTGTGCTGTTTGGAGCAGTCTTTTCCACTTAAAAAGTATACCATAGTCCTAAGTGAGCTTGTTTCATCATATCTGATGCTTGCTTCGATATCTTCAAATGTGAAACATTCCCTTGAAAAAGGCACTCCTGGTCACGTGACCCAACAAGCCCACACGCAAGTGTCGGGTCTCCACGGAACGCACCGTTTTGCCGAGGCGCCGAGGGCTGGTGCGCGCAGGGCAAAGCCGGCCTGCACCGGCCGGCCGTCGGCGTCGGTCAGCGCCAGCTCGGCCGGCCGCCGCGTCTGCAGGAAGGTCGGCTGCGGACTCTGGGCCGAAAGCCGATGCCACGGCTTGGCGCGTGTCACCTGCCGCCGGGCCATGACGGGCATGACGTGCACTGTACACCAGCATCACGCAGAGGAGGGAAAAGCAGACGGGGCACTCCGCACACAGCACCACACAGATGCCGCTACAGCGGACAGCGGGCAGGACAGGAGACGGGCCACCTTGGGGACAACAACTGGAAACGCCACACAGCGGAGAGGGGAGCCGATGGATGGCTCCCCTGACCACACCACACAGCCGTCGCCACAGCGGAGAGGGGAGCCGATGGATGGCTCCCCTGACCACACCACACAGCCGTCGCCACAGCGGAGGGGGGAGCCGATGGATGGCTCCCCTGACCACACCACACAGCCGTCGCCACAGCGGGCAGTGGAGGAGGCGCACCAGCAGAAAGGCACTTCGCTGCGGGGAGTGCACAGCGGACAGAACGGTTTGCTCTCCAGGTCCCGCTCTGCAGATGGCGCCTTGCGAGCAACGGTTCCGACTGGATCCAGCGCCACATGGAGGAAATCGGGCCCACCTGGCCGTCGGCGCAGAGCTTCAGTCCGCGGCCTTGACAGAAGTCGGTGACGAGCGGCAGACGGGCGGGTCCACGGGCGCCGAGTAGTGTCGAGAGCCGCGACCACAGCACGTCCTCGGCCAGCGCGAACCGGTCGGCGCCGAGCCGCTCGTGTGTCCATCCGGGGGCGAACAGCGCCGTCGAGAGACCCAGCCAGCGCGACTCGGCCACCGGCTGCCGGCGACGCATCGCGCGTCGGGCGAGGCGCGGTACACACACGGGGAGCGAGACACAGGGAACGTTATAAAGGGAGAGTGAAAGAGCGCACGGACGAGGGCAAACATAAAAAGGAGATGATGAAATCCATGATGTACGTGAAAACAGGCGATTCAAAGTGACGGGAAGATACTGCGGTAGGCTTAACAGCATGGCCGTTACAAAGCAACACAACACAGGATAGGATGATCACCACAGAGCGCGTCGCTTTTTGTTGTCTTCTTTGCGCCACTCGGACGTGCCGCAGCCCCAAGCACCGCCCGTGACGAACACGCCGAGCATCTCCAGTCCAGCGAGCGTTCGGCGGCGCCCGCAGCTGACCGCGGGAGACGGTGCACCTGGATTACGTTGAATCCGCCGCCACCCAGCGAGCCACGGCCGAACATGTCGACGCCGGCGTACAGGTCGGCGCGGCGCCGGCCGGCCCGCTCGCCCGACGCCGCCAGCCGCTCCGGCGTCCAGCCGTAGTTGAGGAATATGCCATCACACAGATCGAAGTAGCACCTGCGAGCAGCATTCGGGTTGTTACGCTCGCACACGGCTTGGTTGCTGGTCCACCGGATATACGTCCTCCCTTGCTGGCAATGTTCACTGCGGCATCGCAACAGCCAAAAGGTACGCGACGTCCGATGAACCATCAGACCTAGTGCATATATTCAATTACTCGTCAGGAGTCATTACGAGAGAGGCCGCAGGCCAAGCGAGCATCCCGTCAACAAACCGGAATTTACGTGGCTTCAGCGCTCCGGCTCGGCTGGGCATGTCACGCCTTTTGCGGGCTTAAATCTTTGCAGCCTCTGGCCGTAATGTCTTTGAGTTTTCGTCTACAAGTGGCCCAGATCTTTAATCTTAAACCCTGAATCTCTTAACCTTGAAAGCCACTCAAGGTACTTCAATTCCAACCGTTTGATCAGACAGCATATTTGTACAGCGTCATAATGTCGCCACCGTTTTCACCTTTCGACCCATTAGACTGGAATACAAAATTGTCAAATCGAGGGAACAGGTGTAAAAAAAGGTACTGAAAACGCAGGTCGGAGAAACAGGTGTAGATCTCGGCGCACGGGCATCGCAGCGTCTCCGCTCGCTCGAGGTCATATCCACAGAACCATGCGCAGCAAAGAAGAGGCAGTTCGCGAGGACGACTCTACTGGAATTAAGTTAAATGTTGATGGAAAGTCTACGAATGTAACGATTTAGATGACTACATCTCAGCGGAGAGACAGCCAAGCCTCTGATGTATGTTCGATACATGATCGTACATTCTGCGGCTGAAAATGGGCGGAAGCAAAATCTCATACGGAAGGAGAATCTAATACGGAAGCAAAATCTGATATGTTTGCATCCTGGCCATCTTTAGCTGTGAGCCGTTCCCGTTCACTTATATGCATAAATGGAACTGCGACAAAATCCAGGCGCTCACCAGGATGGTTAAGGCTTGGCCGGCGGGCGTAGAAATAATTGCAATAAAAGTTTCTACGCTAAAGAGCTTCTTCAACAAGCATGCATATCACGTTGCCGAGATGTGCTGTAAACCATACTGCTGAATACTGTCACATGCTATTCCATTTTCATGGTTACATGCCAGATTACAACCAATGTCCTCGGTCCAATGAACGACGTATGATGATAAAATGACGATGATGCTTCCCGCAAACTCAGTTCTTTAAATCATGGCGTACCGTTTGGAAAAATCCTTCAGTCTTCGTTTGATCCGAATGTTTTGAATGGATGGTTACCTGGGATCAGACCTCATGCTAAACAGCGCTCATTCTGTAAACGTGAGCCGCAATGATCCACACAGCCCACCCCGCCATCCAACTCCATCTGATCTTCAGCTATGCTTAGGTCAGATGAGTCTTCCCTTGCGCTTAGTTTTTTCATGCCTTCTCTAAAACACCATAGGAAGGATTCATCAGTCTCTGTAAAAATATGAAGCCGCACCAAGCACCGCACGCACGCACGCTATCACGCACGCACATTATGTATATGCGTGCGTGCGTGCGTGCGTGCGTGCGTGCGTGTGTGTGTGCGTGTGCGTGTGTGTGTGTGTGTGTGTGTGTGTGTGTGTGGTGTGTGGTGTGTGTGTGTGTGTGTGGTGTGTGTGTGGTGTGTGTGTGTGTGTGTGTGTGTGTGTGGGTGTGTGTGTGTGTGTGTGTGTGTGTGTGTGTGTGTGTGTGTGTGTGTGTGTGTGTGTGTGTGTGTGTGTGTGTGTGTGTGTGTGTGTGTGTGTGTGTGTGTGTGTGTGTGTGGTGTGTGTGTGGGTGTGTGTGTGTGTGTGTGTGTGGTGTGTGTGTGTGTGTGGTGTGTGTGTGTGTGTGTGTGTGTGTGTGTGGTGTGTGTGTGTGGTGTGTGTGTGTGTGTGTGTGTGTGTGTGTGTGTGTGTGTGTGTGTGTGTGTGTGTGTGTGTGTGTGTGTGTGTGTGTGTGTGTGTGTGTGTGTGTGTGTGTGTGGTGTGTGTGTGTGTGTGTGTGGTGTGTGTGTGTGTGTGTGTGTGTGTGTGTGTGTGTGTGTGTGTGTGTGTGTGTGTGGGTGTGTGTGTGTGTGTGTGTGTGTGTGTGTGTGTGTGTGTGTGTGTGTGTGTGTGTGTGTGTGTGTGTGTGTGTGTGTGTGTGTGTGTGGTGTGTGTGTGGTGTGTGTGTGTGACCCTTTACGATGCGCAAGGGACGATAGTTTCCCGATTACAAAATAGGGATCAGAAAATGAAATGGCCGATATATAGTGAAATTCTGTGAGAGGGGAGGCACCAAGTTTCAAGTCACCCGGTTCGAGTTCCGTAGTGCAGGGTGGTCTCTCCCTTAATATACCCCTGGATTCGCCCCTCGTGGTACGCCTAAAAAACTGTAAAACGTTGTTTGTAGCTTCCACTGTGCCTGCGGAGCACCATGGGGGACCCGCGCAGCACGAAGCGGACTGCAAAGACGCGCTTGAATTTTACATTCATTCACAGATGTCTGTTGTCTAAAATACGGTGTGCTTCATTTCACCAGCACAGTACAGGAACCCGCTGAACCAACAGCTTAATAATTCAATTTTGTTATATCTCGGGGATATACACAAATAAACACAAACACTTCAATTTGAGATGTACTTCTAGTTTTCCAAACTTTAAATTATCTTTATTTCAAAGAACTGTTTTTTCAAAGAACTATGTTAAGTATTGAGCGCCAAGTTCCACATTGTGGAAGTTCCGTTTAGTATTCTGGGCGCCCAGCCCACTATTGCGGAAGCCCGGCCCAACATTGGCCGGGGGGGGGCGGGGTAAGGGGGTAGATCAGCATTGGGGAGCTGGATTTTGTTGGGGAGCATGGCCCCATTGAGATAAGAAGTTCCACCCCTTTTGGGTGGCATATTTCTGTAGCGTCGTAATGTGGTCACTGTTTTCCGTTTCGACTGACATAGGCAACGTGAAGCCGCCAAACAGACAAATGGGTTTAGAGAAGCGCGGAATACGCAGGTCGGAAACGAGTGCAGATCTCGTCACCACTTGTCGTGTAGAACGTGCCGCAAAGTGTGTTTAAAATTTCAAACATTGCCGGTGAAGTCACTTATATACTTTCAGGGGGGGGGGGGGGGGGGGAGGGGGGGGGCTGAGCTTCCCCCTCCCCATAATGCTCATCTGAGCCCTTCAATGTATATGAGCAAAGAGGGATTACTAGACCATATAAGAAAAGAACGATCATCAAATCTTGATGTACGAAGTAAAAGGTTCCTATCAGCACATCATTATCAGTCTCATGCTAATTTTGTACCAAGAATGTCCTGTATGTGCCTAATGTTTTTGTCACGTGAACTGCTTTAACTGATCAGCTAGTCCGCAAATGTTACTAATTTTTTTCCTAAAAAAAAAACACCTGGATTGGGATGGAGAACAATGAACTGCAGCATGCGCCAGCGTTTGAAAGTACGGGGGGCGGGGCGATTCATGTTAACGCATGTTCTCCCCAACAGTGGCTAGTATATTTGTTACATAACCGTGGCTGTTGCGGTTACGCAACAGGATCAGAGAAAGCGACGGTCATCAGCGATCCCATACTGAGGTATATGAAGTTTTCTTTTTTCTGAATCATTCTAAGCTTTTCACAAAAGCGTTGTTCAAATTTACTTGAAATGCAAATTTCTTCATCCGCAGAAACACAGCTTCGATTCCACGAAACATTGAAAGGTTTGATTTATTTCACCATCAGCATCAAGTGGACGACATCCAGGACAAAATCAAGCTTTGGACGCAGGTTATGCCGATATCTATTACCCTGGATTCGGTCAACCTCTTCGGCTGGGACCACCCAACCGATTGTAGAACGTGAAGTGACGTGACGTGATTTTAGAAGTTAGCTGAACTCCCAGTGAAATGACACATGTAAACTATACACAGATTACGTAGGAGTTCCTGCCGCAATCAAAAGACCAGATGACTGAAGGTCCAGGCCATAAAATACCAGAAAATCAAACGTCACATACGAACACCTTGCGCATCGCGTTATGCCGGCCTTCTATAATACAACACAAGGTCCAAATAAGCGGGCATGCTTAGGGGATTACGCTAAACTGTGATATTTTCCCAAATAACATTCAGGTGTGATGGCCGAAAGGCCGGCGATTTCGACGTGGGTTTCGAACCCCAGTCGCACCATGGCCCCTTGGCGCTAATATGGCCTTTGCACTTGCTAGCTCTCCATGAAAGGGGTGTGCGACCACGTGCGTCGCGTTCTCTTTTGTAAAAAAGCCGACAGGATTGTGGGGCAGGAAGAAGTCGACCCTCGCCCCCCTTTCTTCTTCTTCATATCCTGGTGGAGTTTGATGTGCGGGTGGCAGGAAAGGGATTTGCGTGCAATCACTTATCATTTTGCTTAATTTTCTTCAAGAGCGGTCAACATCGGGTTACTAGCATTCCGAAAGGTTTTGAAAAATTGTCATATTGTGGCGTAGCACCGAAAGCGGGGTTATACCGCCCTTCGCTTCCCGGTACAGTCTGTCCGAGTGTACCAATGGTTGCGGTCGCCTGACGTTTAGAAACCCCAAATTTGCAGGAAAAGTAGCCTGTGTGTTCTCCATCGGGTAAAAATTGTCCCTATGACCCAGGTCACGTCGTTCTGACTCGACGTGGGTGGAACGTCTCGACATTTCCCACTTTCCTTTCTTTAGATTTGCCCCCGTTTTCTTTTCAGTGTTCCAGATCTGAAATTTCAGGCGATATCGAAGTTCCTACTGCATCATATGACCACGGATATCCTGAAACTTTGAAGCATACCAAAGCCAGTTTACCTTCGAGGCATATTGCCTTCTTACAACCGATCCAGGGCTAATTAAGAAACCATCATCCTATCCTTTACACGGCAGAGACCGTTCGTTCATTTATCTTTCATTTCTTCTCATTGAATCATGCTGTGAAAACTAACCAGTAACTAAGCAGCGTTTCTTCTCACGACACGGCTCATTCACCGAGAAACCTAACTGCAGGACAGATCCCAAACGACTCCTGCACTGCTGGACCCGTTACTGCACGCTTCATGTGCCCTAACGACTGCATCCACTACAAAGAAGCCACACCTCATCCCTTCCGGTGACACCTGAGCAGTACATACAGGTGTCATCTGTACCGAGAACACTTTCTAATGGCCTGTTTTTTCCTACTGCTTCTTTTCTCTTCTGCTGTAGCTCGCTTTTGCTTTTTGCAAGGCGTTAACTGGTTTTTCGCTTAGGCATTCTCTTCCAGCCACCATTTTACAGGATAGCTGGTCATTATGAGGGATGTGCCTCTCTGTTTCCGACAATTTGGTCTTTTGGGGACACAAAGACTATTGGAAGAGGGAGTATGTCACCTATTGGACTGTAAGGTGACGGTGTAGCCGGGGTGTCAAACCACACCGAAGTTGCCACGGTGCCACGTTGTGCCGCTGCTACCGACGTGGCGTGCCGCGATCGTGTCGGTGCTGCCAGGGCGCCGTGCTGTGCCGATAGGCTGCAGGACATGTGAACAGTGTGATGGTATGGTCACGATGTCTACGCCGTGTTTCCGCGCTAGGGCGATGACGTCCAGACTGACATGGCTGCTATGGTTGTTCATAACCAGCAAAACCCTTCTATCAGCCGCGGGAGCGGCATGCTCGACGAAGTGCCAGAACCACTGTACAAAAAGTCCGAGGCTGATCCAGCCGTTGTCGCTACGGCGCATATGGTTCCAACGGGAGTGTCCTTGGTTAGTGCCGGGTTCTTCTTTTTCTCCCACCGAAGATCATCACTGGTGGGACAGTCACGCTCGACGCGCTGATGCACCCCACAATCGTCGTCAGCTTGCCCCGTTCTGCTGTCGTAACTTGGCTGACCTTGCGTTGTCCTCTTTCAGCCAGCACTTTCGGAATTTCAGGCACAGATTTCAGGCCAGTTTCATCAACACTGTACACCTTATGATGGGGGTACAGTCCATGCTGATATTGCGCACGTCAGGTTGTCGTAGAATTTTCCCATGTTGTTCTTGTCGACGCCTTCCAGTCTTGCCAACTGTGGCCTTGGGCTTTTCTGGGCGAAATTTTCGGATGCCTTTTTAAAAAGCCAGTCTGAGCCAGCCAGTCTGGGCCAGCGCACTTCTTCTGGTGATTGAAGGGCTGCTTTATCCTCTGTCTTTCGGCGTATTCGTATGCAATCCTGGCCAACGTCTCTCTCGATATGCCGCAGTACATGCTGGGCAGGTACAGAATTCGCTGCTCCAATTCTCCTCAAAATGGTTGGACATGACTGTCTTTTTCCCGACGCATAGAGGGTCATCTGGTTCTAACGGGCCGTCGTCTTTTAGGCGATCCATGAAGGTTGAGCGGGGCACTCCAAACCTCTTATAGGCCTGCCGTATTTTCAGGCCCCTACGTACAGCTTTTACGGCATTCTTCATGGACTCTGGGGTCCGAGATCCTCGGTCAGATGTTCGAATGTAGTTTCGAGGCATTCTTGATAGGAAAAGGCTAGGTAATAGGTACAACCACAGGTGGTGCCATCAATTTTTGGGAGGGGGGAGGGGACGAGACCGTAAAATCATCACCACACTTGAATGCAAAATGGATGATAAATCACGCGTTTAATAACCGGTATTCCCGTAAATGATC